GCTATGTAAAGATGTGGAAGAATCTTAAATGCATTTTACTGAGTGAAAGAAGCCAATCTGAAAAGGATACATAGTGTATGAGTCCAACTCTGTAACATTCTCGAAAAGGCAAAACTATGGAGAAAGTAAAATGATCAGTGGTTGCCAGGGGTTAGGATGGAAGGAGAGATGAATAGTTGAAGCACAGAGGATTTTTAGGGCAGTGAAACTGCTCTGTGTGGTACAGTAACCGTGCATACATGCCATTATACATTTGCCAAGATCTACAGACTATACACTACCAAGAGCAAACCCTAATGTAAACTATGGACTTTGGATGATAATAATGTATCCATGTAGGTTCACTGATTGTTAACAAATGTAGCAGTCTGGTGTAGGGTATCCAAAGTGGTTAGGCCGTCTGTGTGGGGCAGGGGACAAGTGGTATGTGGGAACTATCTCTATTCCCCACTCAATTTTTCTGTGACACTAAAACTGCTCTAAAAAATAAAGTCTATTTTTTAGAAACAGAATAACCACAGTCTAAGGAAGTGCTTTCCCAATTCTTTTATGTGCAGCCCACCAGTAAAATTTTTACAGTATGCATCCTCAATAAATGCACATATATCTTTCATAAGTTGTGTAAGTATTGGATATAATTATACTACTCCATTATGTACACTATAACAAACTGAAAATAGAAATCTAAAAACTTTTTTCGCTTACTTTATGTCTATCTCACCCTTTCTTAGTCTATGTTCTATAGTATGTACATGTAACGAAGTAATCATGATTATAACTTATTAACTAATAAATGCACATTAGGAATGAGCTTGAGATTTTTTTTTTTGACACAGAATCTCACTCTGTTGCCCAGCTTAGAGTGCCATGGCTGGCATCAGCCTAGTTCACAGCAACCTCAAACTCCCAGGTTTAAGTGATCCTCTTGCTTCAGCCTCCCAAATAGCTGGGACAACAGGCACCTACCACAAGACTCAGCTAATTTTTCTATTTTTAGTGGAGATGGGGTCTCCTTCTTGCTCAGGCTGGTCTCGAACTCCTGAGCTCAAACAATCCACCTGCCTCGGCCTCCCGAAGTGGTAGGAGTACAGACATGAGCCACAGTGCCTGGCCAAGCAAATTTTCATTGAGAGAAGTGCAAGCTCTACCAAGCACAGAACTGACATATGAACCTGGGTGTGGGGATTTCATCTCACAGGTGTTGCTACAGAGAAGAGTGAAGGAACAGAGACGATGAGACAGGAAAGAAGGAAAAGCCAATGCGTTGTTGAGCTGCTTACCTCCATGGGCATTGAGGCTTAGTCCTGCTAGGAAAGGAACTCTGAAAAATTACCATATGTGCCTTATAAATGTTCTTTCAAAAGATGGGAACCTGGGTCATTTATCTGCTGACTCCTAACTCCCATTGGTGGAGGGTTAGCTCTGGAAGTGTTAACTGCACCCCGACACATGCACACCCAGATGGCCCTGTGTGAACTAAGCTCCTAAAAGCAGACAGAAATGGCTGACACTTGGAGTAGACCTCTGTCAATGTGTGTAGAAAAGGTCTGCCACAAGGGATATGGGGTGGAACACCAAAAGCATTTGCTACAAGGACTACGTTAAAACAAAAATTTGGAGATCCCTAGTTTGTTGAATAATGGAGGTATGATCCTCCTCTACCCTTTAAAGCCAGCACATCCCTGCCAATGTCAATTATGACATTATCACACTAATTATCATATGCTGTCTACTCATATTTCTTTTCCACTGTCCTGTGTGTAGCTTCAGGATGCTTTGACATCAGACTGAACTGATATCCCAGATCAGTTCAGGGTCTGGGATATCCCAATATACTTTATGTTATATTATATCCCTTTACTTACAGTCCATGTGACTCTAAACAAATCATTTTCTCTTTCTCAGTCTTTGTTTCACCATCCATCTACTAGGGATAATAATGCCTTCCTCAAAATTTAAAGTTAGGATTAACTTGTGTTCCCTAAATTTATTGAAATAAAATAGAAAAATAAAGTTAATATTAAAATGAGGTAGTCAGCTCGGCACCTGTGGCTCAAGTGCCTAAGGCACCAGCCACGTACATCTAAGGTGTCCGGTTTGAATCCAGCCCGGCCCGCCAAACAACAGTGACAGCTGCAACCAAAAAATAGCCGGGCGTAGTGGCAGGCACCTGTGGTCCCAGCTACTTGTGAGGCTCAGACAGGAGACTTGCTTGAGCCCAGGAGTTGGAGGTTGCTTTGAGCTGTGATGCCACGGCACTCTACCCAGGGCAACAGCTTGAGGCTCTGTCTCAAAAAAAAAAAAAATGAGGTAGTATTGTATAAAGTACCTAGCAAAAAGATACCAACTGATTAATAAGGTTTTTCTTTTTTCTTTCCTTTTTTTTTTTTTAAGGCTACATGGGAGAAAGAGGGGAGAAATGATAGGCTTTCCTTCCATGTAGAATATGGGCAGCCTATTTTATTTTTATTTATTTATTTACTTATTTATTTTTGTTGCAGTTTTTTTGGCCAGGGCCGTGTTTGAAACCGCCACCTCCAGTATATGGGACTGGCGCCCTACTCCTTGCACCACAGGCGCCGCCCCAGTTTTTCTTTTTTCTCATTCTTTGCCTCTCCTACACCTTGACACAGTAGATGGATAGGTTGGGTATTAAAGTGCAAATATTAAGGCAGAAAAACGGGTTCAGAGCCAAACTCTACTGATGATCAATTTCAGAACCTCAAGAAAGATCTTTCAATTCTTGTGAAACTCTTTTTGTAATGAATTAATCTATCTCTTCATCTAAGCATGTATATGATGCTAAACATAACAAATACAGTACCTGGCATAGTACCTCATACTTATGTCATACATAAATTTCTTCTTCTTCTTTTTTTTGTTTTTTGTTTTTTGTTTTTTGTTGCAGTTTTTGGCCAGGGCTGGGTTTGAACCCACCACCTCCGACATATGTGGCTGGCGTCTTACTCCTTGAGCCACAGGTGCCACCCCCATACATAAATTTCTTGATTTTTGCCTTCTCTTTTGAGATTTAGGATCTCACAGTGCTTTGGTTTACCCTTTTTATTATGAAAAACTTTAAACGGATACAAAAGTAGAAGGGAATAGTTTGATGACTCCCTATTACAAGTCTCCAATTTTAACTCTTACCAAGCTTCTTTAATCAATACCCTCACTCATTTCTCCCTTTACCATATTATTTTATAGCCAGTCACAGACATCAGATCATCTTATCTGTGAATATTTCAGTATGCATCTCCAAATGATAGAACTCTTTAAAAAAATAAACACAATATTATTATCATACTGTAACTATTTAATAATCTCTCCAGATTATCAAATACCCAGTGTTCAGGTTTCTATTTATCTCATAAATCTTTTTGACTACTCTTCTTTGCACTAATATCTAAACATTCAATACACTGTGACTGAATAATTTGTCCCTTAAATCTCTTTAATTTTGTAGGTGTACTCCGTTTTTTTTTTCCTTTCAATTTGTAAAGACACAGGATTGTTTGTCCTGTAGCTTCCTTAAATTCTGGATTTTGTTGATTGTACGTCATTTAACGTGTTCTCCATCTTCTTATTTCCTGTGAATTGGTAGCAGGATGTAGACGTTTGATCAAATCCGGGTTTGCTCTTTTTGACAGAACTACTGTATAAGTGGTAGTGTTCTTCCACCAGGAAATACATAATATCTTGCTCCCTCTTTGTGATGTTACCAGCCACTGATAATCAATGCCTAGATTCATTGATTTCCTGTTGCAAGCTGATACTCTAGGTCAGCGATTCTCAACCTGTGGGTTGTGACCCATAGGAACTGAATATATTAAAGGGCTGCAGCATTAGGAAGGTTGAGAACCACTGCTCTAGGTCATTAATAAAGATGGTAAATAAGGACTCATTGAAAAGTGACCTTCAATGACTCTGTTAGATGTCTCTTTCGCAAATTGGATGGCCACGGAAGGGTGAGCACGAACAGGACACTTCATTATCCCAACATCCCTTTGTTCATGACTTTTCAACCTGCTTGAATCCACTGGGACACCCTCCAAGTCCATATTCAAACCAAATTTAGCTTGTTGAATACAAACATTCCCTTTGGCTCTGGAACAAACTGATCATTAAAGACTAAACATGTGACATGATCCATACTCACTGGACGCACCATTTGTATGATTCACTAAAAGGGGATGGTTTGTTGTGATAACACAAAATGTCCATTTTCCTCATTCAAGGGTTTTCTAACAGAGCCACCTGTAGTGGGGCCAGCAGGGGTTGCAGAGGCTTCACAATCAGATAAGTCCTTATTTAAAGTCTTTATTAGTGCCCTTAAGTACATTAAACTACTCAAGAATGAGTAATCACTGAACTGCAAATAAGGACAGGTCATGCCCCAAATGGAGAAGACTATAGTAATGTGTTGTGGTGTTGTGGGCAAGCTTATTGTATAATGAATGGTCTGGTTACAAGAGGTTGGGCCACACCTGTTGCCCCACTCCAGGATATATAAGAAAGTAACTGATTTACCATTTGGAAGGAAGTCTGGACCAAAAATGCTCTGTGTGGGAATAATAAAAGTACCTGCATAAGAACTGAAAAGAGATGGCTCCAGAAATGAAAACTGAACACAGTATTCTCCCCTTTATCTGTGGCTTTAATTACCTGTGGTCAACTGCTGTCTGACAATACCAAATGGAAAATTCCAGAAGTAGACAATTCATAAGTTTTAAATTGAGCACCATTCTGCATAGTGTGATGAAATCTCAAGCCATCCTGCTCTTTCCTACCCAGGGTTTGAATCCTCTCTTTGTCTATCAGATCTATGCTATTGGCTCCTTAGTCACTTACTGGAACTCTCCTTTACCAGATCAAAAACAAAACAAAACAAAACATAGCATACATAGGGTTTGGTTCTATTTGTAGTTTGAGGCATCCACTAAGGGTCTTGGAATATATGTATTCCTCACAAATAAGTGCTGGGTGGGAAGGACTACCATATGTCACTTCTGTGTTTTGGAAAATGCAAGGATAAAATCGGAGGAAGATGCTCAGTGGTGGCTACTTACTGCACAGATTGGATCCAGCTCATTCTCACGCCTTGCTCCACTTCCTTCACAATGGTGTCTGACAAACCTGATATGGGTGAGACCGAGAAATTCAGTAAGTTGAAGTTGAAGAAGACAGAAATTCAAGAAAAAAATCCACTGCCTTCTAAAGAAGTGATAGAACAGGAGGAACAAGCAGGCGAGTCATAAGGTTAGTGCCACCAATATGCACAGTACATTCCACAAGCATTGCCTTCTTATTTTATTTATTTTAGCTGTTTAACTTTGTAAAATGGGCCAGACAACATGGTGGGTCATGCCTGTACTTGAAGCACTCTGGGAGGCCCAGGTTGGTGGATTGACTGAGCTCATGAGTTCGAGAGCAGCCTGAGCAAGAGCGAGACACTGTCTCTAAAAAAAAAAAAAAAAAGCCAGCTATTGTGGCAGGTGCCTGTAGTCCCAGCTACTCGGCTACTCAGGAGGCTGAGGTAAGAGGATCACTTCAGCCCAAGAGTTTGAGGCTGCTGTGAGCTATGACACCACAGCACTCTACTGAGGATGACAAAGTGAGACTGCCTCAAAAAAGAAAAAAAAATTTGTACGATGCAAAGAGGTTGCGTCAAGTTTAAATGATTGTGCTGCCCCTTTCACTTCAAAATATCGTGAGCTACTGACAATGAAGGCAGCATCTGCCTCTCCCATCTGCCTGTCTGGTTGGTAGGGAAGGAAAAGAACTTGCATGTTGATAAAGAAAGAAGCTGGGGAGGAAGACAGTAAAATCTGGGGTAAAACCAAGCTGGCCCAAGGTTTCCCGCAGGCTATATAATCAGAGTGCTATTTTTTGTGTTCAAATGATTTTAATGATTGAAATGCACAATTTTTTAATATGCAAATAAAAAGTTTTAAAACATAAAAAAAAAATTGGAGGAAGAAAAACTGTTCAGTTCTCAAAAGAAAACGATATAGGAAAATAAACTTCATAGCTTTGCAAGAAATTAACTTAAGCAGAATTTCCCATTTTAAATTAAGTTACTGTATATAGACAATGTGTGTAATTGCATTTGACTTAAAAGAAACTTGATTTTGTTTAGAAGAATGGATTAATTAGTAAACTGAAAAGTATCTATGTACTCCAAATCACATAGCTCTTCAGAATGGCACAAGCTTAAAGCTCATACCTGGAGATTCACCATGAGTGGAGCAGTCCCTGAATAGCTATCTCTTAGATATTCCAAGCACTTTACAAACTCCATTTATCCTGACAACTTTGTGAAGTTGCCATTATTACCTCCATTTTATTGATGAGGAAACTGAGACTCAGAGAAACTAGGTAACTTGCCCTAGATCCTTCAGCTACTAAGTGGCAGAGGCTAGGTCTGTCCATCTAAGTCATTACATTATTCTGCTCATGTCATTTTAGAAAGAGCGCAAGGGCATGATATTTATAGAGCATCTTCATTTAATTTCCCATCAAAAGCCATTGCATAGCTTTCCCAGCACTCAACAAATAAACACAGTGCTCTTAACAGCTATACTCTACCACCACTTGCAAGGTAGTATGAAACTTTACAATTGAACTATGCTCCTGAAGGTCAGTTTTGTATCCATTACTTTTTAGCTTTTCCATCAGTGAACTGGGGGACAGAATAATAATTGCCTGACATGTTTACACATAAAGGCGTTCTGGGCATGAGGGAAGCCAAGAAAGAAGCTAACATGGAAGCTGGGGAGTACATTATCCACTCCCCCCCCCAATTAAAACTGGGGAGACAGCCAGCAACCAAAACGAAGGAAATCAGCAAAGATAATCACTTAGATTCAGTCCAATAAAAAAATCTCGATACAGTAAAAGTCAATACAGCCGTGACAAAAACACCTGCAAACTTAACTCCTAAATATGATAGCTAAGTAGCTCTGTCATTTAATCAAGGTTGAAGACGATCATAGAAGCAAGAATATTGCACACAGGATATAAAGGAATCTGTTCACTGTAGAGTATCTCCTTCTGAATTCTATCATTTAAAAATTCAGAAGGTCCACGTGAAAAGTTATAGGGATGGTCAAATAGTCTAACTATGAGGGAAAGTGAAAGAAACTGTTGGTTTCAGAATAGCCAAACAGAAAAATAGGAATAAATTAATCATAGTCTATAAGGAAACTACAGATTTAATTTTACTAGAGATTATCAACTATTGCAAATTTTTTAAATTCTCTAAGTGTGTTCTTAATATTAACCCATCATAATTAAACAACGAGCTCTATGAGAAAAGTTTTCTTCCACTAATGCCGAATTCCAGATTTTTCTTACTTTTTTCTCTCCCTGGAATGGTGTGAGATAGCAACTATTTTGTATAACTGCTTATTTAATAATTATTTTAATTATTCTACATTTCTATCTTCTTCATTTTAAATGTTCAAAGAAAAACTGAAAAAACTGGATGGCTAGGATTTCTTGAGGATAAATTTTTCTAGGAGTTCAAAGAAGTACAATTGAACATATTTCTAGTCATAAAACAAAATCCCGAGAGTTAAAAAAAAAACGTCACATAGCACCAGCATTGTAGTCAAATTGTTCTCTTCAGATGGCAGATTGAAAATTTACCCTTTTGTCTTAAGTTTCTCTTTGAAGCAATCCAGAACCCAATGTAAGGAATGGCAACAACAGCTTAGTTTTACAGAACACTTTACAGTTTATAAATCATTTTGCATTCTTTTCTCATTTGATCGGCCTTTGAGCTCTCTGAGGGACACAGTATAGGAATCTTGGTTCTCTTCTGACAGATAAAGGCACTTTCTTCTCAGGAAATATTGGAGCATAACTAACAGAACATTCAAAAGCCCCTTGTATTAGTCAGGGTTCTCCAGAGAAAGAGAACCTATACACAGTAGAACTTAAGGGACTGTGAAAAAACTGGTCAACATACAGAGGTGGTCAACATGAGGAACGTAGGTTGGAATACTGTACTGATACATGGGTCATTACAAAAGTTTTGAGATACACAAAAATTAAGAAATGCAAAATCTGCATAGACAGAAACAAATCTCTCAGCAACACTGAAGAAGTTGAAACTTACTGGAGTGAATTGGAGAGGTTGCTATCAACTGTTTCTTGAAAGTGAAACATTTGACCATAGCATACTCTGTCTCAGAACTTTCATAGTGACCTACATAGTACATGTGGTGCATGTCCAGTCCATAAAAATTAGGTCAAAATAAGAAGGTGGTCACTATAGGAAAGTGGTCAACTAAGGAGGTTCTGCTGTACACACACACATATATATCTGCATATTTACAGAGACTGAGGAGTCCTGTGACCTACCATGTGCAAGCTGGAGACCACAAAAAGCCAGTGGTGTAGTTCCAGCTCAAGGGCAGAAGAAAAATCAATGCCAGTTCAAACAGTCAAGCAAAGAGAAAGCAAATCTCCCTCCATCTTTTTGTTCTATTCAGGCCCTCAATAGGTTGGATGATGCTCACCTTCAATGAAGAGGGCAGACTACTTTACTAAGTTCACTGATTCAAGTGCTAACCTCATCTGGAAACACCTTACAGACACACTCAGAAATGTTCAGCCAAATATTTGGACACCCCATGACCTAGTCAAGTTGACACAAAAAGATTAACCATCACATCCCCTAATCTCACTTTCAGAAGGAAGTTTTCACCCCTGAGGGACCTCTGGAGGGAAGTTCCACTTTCACTCTGTTATAAACTCTACTCAGATAGTCATTTCAGGATACTTCTTCCTAAGGAAGTTTTGAAGGTTTCATTTGACTGCAGGCACTACAATCCTACCCAGTTGAAAACAGAAAGTCATTATCAAAAGGGCAGCCACTAGTGAGAATTAAAGAGAATCTCCAGATGCAGAGGATTATAGCATGGGATTTAGTTAGAAAAAAAACAATTTAAAATATTGGGTGTGATGCAACCTGAAGGGGATTTGGGGATGGTTCTTGAATCAGACTGACCCAGATTCTAAGATCAGCTCTAACCAGTTTCATATGACCAAGACAGGTTGGCAACTCTAGCCAATCCTCCATTTACTCCCAAGTAACATGGGAATTAAATATCCCACCAGGAACTACTGATACACGCAACAACATGGATGCCTAGCATGAAACTCATATATAGAAAAGAAGCCAGGAGCAAATGAATATCGAACACACCGTATGATTCCACTTATAGGTACTTCCAGAACAGGTAACATGAATCTTCTGGGGCTTCAAGTCAGAATAGTAATAGCCTCTGGGGTGGGGGGGAACTGACTAAAAAGGGACATAAGGACATTCTGTGATGACAAAAATGGTCAGTTTCTTGACTGTACTGCAGGTTACACAGATGTATACATGTATCAAAATTCATCTAACTGTAAAATTAAGATCTGTACATTTTCCTGAATATTATATATCAATAACAATTTTGAAAATGCATATCTCTTTGGGATGGTCAGAGAAATAAATGAAATAATATAAGGAAAATGTCTAGTGGAGTACTCAAACACACAGTAGTTGTTCAAGAAATGATGGCTTAAGCACCCTTCTTAAAAGTAACTGACTTGAGAAATTCTAATATGTCTACATTATTCAGAAATCCAAGAGAATTCTAGAACTGAGACAGACAGTAGAGATTGCAGGCTTTCTTCTTCAGTAGCCTGTTTGTGGGCTCCCCACTGCAGTGACCGACTTCACTGGGCAAGCAGGTGGGTACTGTCCAAGGAAGCTGGCAAGGACCCAGAGGTGCATGGATCTGAGATAGCCCTGGGCAGGACTGCAGTCCCTTAGAGGATTCCAAGTCCAGAGGAAGTGGGCCCCAAAGTGGGATCCCAGAGAAAGACTAAAATAGGGAGTAGGAATGAGGGGACAGGACAAACACCTGGTTTCACTATGACTCAGCGTCCAGGTAGGGCCTGGGCAGAAGGTAGAAGCAAGCTCCTAGGACAAGGAAGGAGGGAAATGAAAGTCTTTGTGAGTACATAGCCTGAGCATTAGACTTACCCCAAAGGCTGAGATAAACCCAATTCTGGGTGAACCCAGTTGGCTCTGCTATCACTCAAGTTATCTCAAATTGTACTGGATTCAACACTACAGCAACACTTCCTAAAGGTTACTGTGCACATGGATCCTGTGGGAATCCTGCTAAAATGCATATTTTAAAAAATTAAAATAGAATAAAATTAAAATGCAGATTTTGATTCACTAGGGCTGGGATGA